CAGTGCTGAGCACATCGTGTGGAAGTGAACAAATAACTTACATACAGAACAAGAAACCTCATTTAAGTCAGATCTGAAGGAGATAATTCAGGAGCCAAGTCCCCAAAAAAACAAAATGCCTTCAGGGCACGGTTTATGGCATTTTGTGCCCAATAGCCTGTGCTATGTTGAACTAGGGTCTCGATGCAACCATAACTGATTCGAAAATTTTTAGTTTATACAATTTGCTCTAGAGGGTGCTAGTGTTGTCCTGGAGGACAACGCACCAATGATGAAATAGGTAAAGACAACGTTATTCAATTTACAGAGGTACAAAGTAGCGATACTGCTAGAGATGGAACAAAAGGGGATGATATCTCAGGGAAAAGTGATGCCTTAGGGAATAGCGTTGAAGCATTACCAATAAAAACTGGTGGAAGCACTGATATCCATACAGGGGCGGTAGGTAGTGGGGAAACAGAAAAAAATGCACTAGCAGGGAACGCAGTCACAAAAAATCCTAGCAAACAAAATTCCAATCTATGCAAATTCTATGCCTTGGGTATCTGCAGACATGGTATATCATGGTATATCATCTAAATGGGGCAAGAAGACACCCAGCCGGACTATGGCAAACAAAAGAGGAGAGCCATAACCTCTCCAGAGAAGGTTTTTTAGTGCCAGGAACGAAAAAAGACTGGCAAGAAATGACAGAAATCTTGCACCAACTGAAAACGCGCTTCTGGAGCAGAGGCACAGTCATTGGCCTCCACTCCAGAACAACAGATATTAAAGCCAGCAAATAAACACCTAAATTCCATTGATATAGCGACATTTATCTTTACAAATATACAGGGTCTAAAGCCATAAACAAAATTTCTTACATCAAGGGACTGCTCAGGAAGTCAAGTGCAATGTTTGCAGCATTCACAGAGACCCCACATAAAGGATCATTTTGTCAACGAAATATGGATCCCAGGTTATAACCTATTCAGATGCGACAGACTTAACTGGCAACAAGGTGGGGTTGGCTTGTACGTCGCAGAGTCACTCGTTTGCTCAAAACTACTAATCACCTCAAATAAAGTAGTTGAAGTTTTGGCAGTAAAGATTGAAAACCAAAACCTTGTCATTGTGGTTGTATACAAGCCTCCGGATGCAACTTCACAGCAATTCCAGTAACACCTTTTGAAAATTGACCATTGTCTGGAAAATCTCCCAACTCCTACACCAAACATCTTGATACTAGGAGATTTCAACTTTAGACACCTAAAATGGAGGAGTGTAGAAAATAATATTTTAGCAGGGATCACCCCAGGAGGCAACTCAGATGAAAATTCACACACACACAAGCTATTAAATCTCTGCACCAAATTCACTTTAAACCAGCAAATATTAGAGCCTACAAGACTAGAAAATGTGCTGGACCTCATCTTCACTAACGACGACGATCTGATACGTGATATAACTATATAAAAGACAATTCATTCAGATCACAAAATAATAGAGGTATAGACATGTGTGCACAGGTCTCCTGACCAGCAAAATGTGATCAGTCATGAGGGTGTCTTCACAAAAATCAACTTCAATAACAAACATACAATGGGACCAAGTCAACAATGTCCTTCATGAAACAAGCTGGGAAGATATCCTAAACAACACGGATCCGAACCTTTGCCTAGAAAAAATTAACTCTGTGGCACTTGAGGTCTGCTCAAGGCACATTTAATTAACAAAAAGAAAGAGAAGATGTACACTAGATAGAGAGAGACGCTCCCTATACAGATGAAGGCAAAGAATCAGAGCTGCTGAGAGGGGCCAATATATCTGTAATACTAAGAGGCACTGGTCAGAGAAATAGCAGATATCGAACTTAAGCTTAATGATTCTTACAGGAGACAAGAATCTCAGGAAGAACTAACCATAAAGGAAATTGAAAAAAAAAAAAACTTTTTCTCTTATGATAAATCTAAGGGTAAAACAACATCCAGAGATCAGTGTTTGTGAATATTTCGCCTGTTCTTGCGATTCCTAGCAATAATATATATATATAATATATAAATATATTTTATATATATATATATATAATATATAATATATATATTTTATATATATATATATATATTAAAAATATAAATATAATATATATATATATATATATTTTATATATATATATATTATATATAATATAATATATAAATATATTTTAAATATAAAATATATATATATATATATAAATATTTATATATAAAAATATATATATAATATAGTTTTATATAAAATATATAATATTTTTATATATATATATAAATATATATATAATTTTAAAAAAATAATATTAATATATATAATATATATTATAATAATATTTTTTTATATAATATATATATATATATATTTATATATATATATATATTATAAATTTTATATATAAAAATATATATATTTATATTATATATATATATATATTTTTATTTTACTATATATATATATATATATATAATATATTATAATATAAAATATAAAATTTTATAAAATATATATATATATATATATATTTTAATATTAAATATATATAATATATATAAAATATATATATTTTAATATATATATAATATTAATATATAATATAAATATATAATATATATATAATATATATTATATATATAAAAATATAAATATATATAAATATATAAATATATATATATATATATTTATAATATATATAAAATAATATATATAAATATATAAAAATATAAAAAAATATATATATAATATATATATATAAAATATAATAAATAAAATTTTATATAATTTTTTATATATATATAAATATATATATATATAAAATATAAATATAAATAAAATATAAATATAACAAAATAAAATATAAAAAAATATAAAAAAAATATATAAATAAAAAAAATAAAAAAAAAAATATAAAACTATATATAATATCATATATAAAAATAATAAATTTATATATATATAATAAATAAAATAATAAAAAAAATCAATAAAAACAAACAAAAAAAATTATAATAAAAATAAAATAAATATCAAAAAAACTACAAAATAAAACAAACAAAATATACAAATAAAATAAAATCAAATAAAAAAAATAATAAAATAAAATAAAATAAATATAACACAAATCATACTAAACAAATAACATAATATATAAAACAATATAATACACTCAATCACATCATAAAAATAACAAACTAAATAATATACAAATTAAATAAAAAACACATATAAAAAAATAAATATAATAAATATATACATATATATAAACACAAACATAAACAAAAAAAAAAAAACAAAAAAACAAAACAAAAAAAACCAAAAAAAAAAACAAACAAAAATAAAAAAAAAAACCAACCAAAAACAAAAAAAACAAAATAAACAAAAAAAAAAAAACATCAAAAAAAAAAAAAAAAAAAAAAAATAAAAAACAAAAAAAAACACAAAAATAACAAAAAAAAAAACAATAAATAAAAAAAAAAAAACAAAACAAAACAACAAAAACAAAAAAAAAAAAAAACAAAAAAAAACCCCCCCCCCCAAAAAAAAAAAAAAAAACCCAAAAAAAAACAAAACAAAAAAAAAAAACCCCAAAAAAAATCCCAAAAAAAAAACAAAAAAAAAAACCAAAAAAAACCCCAAAAAAACCCCCCCCCCCCCCCAAAAAAAAAAAAAAAAAAAATAAAAAAAAAAAAAAAAAAATAAAAAAAAAAACCCCCCCCCAAAAAAAAACCAAAAAAAAAAAAAAAAAAAAAAAAAAAAAAAAAAAAAAAAAAAAAAATAAAAAATAAATAAAAAAAATATATAATATATTAATAAATAAAAAAAAATAAAAATAAAATAAAAATAAAAATATAATATATTAAAAAAATATAAAAAAAAAAAAATAAATTTTTTAAAAAAATTTTTAAAAAATAAAATTATAAAAATATATAAAAAAAATAAAAAAATTTTTAAATATATATAAATAAATTATAAAAAATTTAATAAAATTTATTTTAATAATATAAAATTAAAAATTTAAAATATATAAATATATATTAAATTTTCTATAAAATAAATATAAATAAATAAAATAAATAAAAATATTAAAAAAAAATAAATATAAAAATATATAATTATAAATATTTTTAAAAAAACAAATATAAAATAAAAATTAAATTTTTAAATATAAATAAAAAATAAAATTTATATATATAAAATATAAAAAAAAACTATATATAAAAAATTTTTATAAAACAAAATTATAAAAATAAATATAATAAATAAAAAATATTAATATATATACATAAAAAAATTAAATAAAAAAAAAATTTTTAAAAAATATACATAAATATATATTATAAATTAATTTTTAAAATATAAATATATATATAAAATATATAATCACATAAACAGGTATACATCAAAAATGCGAACAAGCCTGAAAAATAGTGAACTTCTCCCGAATACATTCCTTGAAGCTCACAGTTTGTTAAAAACACATAATGATATATTTATCACTTAAACAACAATGTAAAGTAATTTTTTGAAGGATTGATTTTAAAAACTTTAATATGCAGATACTTTTATTTAGTGTGGTGTGTAAATATATATATATTTAAAAATATATAAAAATATAAAAATAAAAATATATATATATATATATATATAAAAATTGATTAACAATTCGAAAAAAATGCTTAACAACTGCATGGGGCATGATTTGATAAAAAAACTATGAAAACAAGCCTTGTGCCCAGGGGTATGGGGTAACATCATCTAGTTCCGGCTAGACGCCCATACTTATCCGGGGTCTGGCTCCATGGTAAAGTACTTTGTACTCTGATACAGAGTTTGAAGGTTCGAGTCCTGTGTATATACGTAAAGACAATGTTATATAATATGTATATATATAATATATATAATGTATATATATATATATATATATATATATATATTATATATATATATATATATAATATATATTATATATATATATATAGTCATTGTGTGTATCAATGATATTTTCCGTAACTACCATAGCTACCATAGCCTCTCCCGAATCTACCACGTCCAAAGCCAAATCCTAAACCATATTCTCCGTAGCCAGTAGCATATGCACCACCAGGACCTAGGTTGAAGTCGATGATCGCTCTTCCACTACTGCGCAATCCTCGCCTGTAACTGCCAAATCTGCCACCGTAACCGCGATATCCGCCAATGAGGCCACCATTGTAGTCATATACGCTGTCAAAGCCGTCATATCCACCATCGAAGCCTATTACACTAGGAGCTGCGACGGTAGAGGCGACCAGCACTGCCAACCCCACGAAAAACAGCGAGTATTTCTGCGTAAACAAAATATTTTTGTGATAATAATTTTAAATATCTCTCTTGCTAGTCTTATTAATATTGATGCACAACATTCTAATGTAACTAATACTAATGAAAGTTACAATTATAATAATGAAATATTACTAATATTTCAGTTACTAAATAATAATATGCAAAAAATCGTTTATCTGCAGAAAGTATTTACGAGTAAGATTGAGACCCCGTGTTAGTACACTGTCCTGAGAATATTGCACTAATTAGAATGCCTGTAAGGACACATGTGCAACTACTGTGACATTTCATTGTAGCAACGTTTCGTTCTCCAGGATTTTTGTCAAGCCATTAACTTGACAAAGCTCCTGCAGAGTGAAACGTTGTCACAATAAAAAGTCGCATTAGTTGCACATGTCTTTATAAATAACATATTGTCTGTAATTCTACCAACATTATTACAACTAGAAAGTAATTTTCCTTAAAGTATGTGCTAAGTTATTGTGATAGGCCAAATTTTTAGTGAAACTCGCTATACCTGCCCAGCTTATGTGTGTGTTTACTACGAGTAAGAGACAGGTTCTAAAATGCATAAGTTACACGTGTGTTAACCTCTGTTTCAAGGGGAACAAGTTTTAAGTAACCAACCATTGCGCAGAGAGTGAGTATACAACCACACTGGTGTCTGGGAGGTATCTGCTCTACACCATCCATATTCATCACTTATATACCTACTGGCTCGTTGGACCATAGCCTTAAGTACTCAATCGTTACTTGCAAATTCTTGCAGAAAAATATTTAGATTAACATTTTCACTTATTAATTATTGAGTGAAAAATTTCTTCAGATACTGACAATAAGAACAGAAATAATAATAATAATAATAATAATAATAATAATAATAATAATAATAATAATAATAATAGTAATTTGATTGTTAGGGATCCATTCAATTTTGAGTTTGGTTTAACCATTTATTTTGGGATGTCAGAATAATTACATAACATTGAGGAATAAATGGCAAACTATTGAATAGTTAATTAGATAAATTAGAATACTTACATAAATATTTCAACAACTAACTAAACAGGAAGCTCAACGGGTTGCTAAGTATGTATGTCAGCAAGTAATTCATGTGCATCAGACACGTTAAAGTGGCCCGTTGTGTATTATCTGAACCAACACTTATTCAATACTTGATCTAGTTTTTCACTTAGAAGCTCAAATTTCTCAGTATAGATTATTTCAGTTCACCTGATAAAAGTGGTCGTGTTCAATTGTTCATAATCTACGCTGCAAGGCTTGTTGACCTACGATATTTTAGTAAAATAAGTAGTTGTTTGGTTGTCAAGACTGTATTTTAACCAGAGTAAACAAAAATATGAATCTTTAAAGGGATGGACGGGGAAGAGAACGGAAGCCGTCGGTCAGATGACCATATGTTTCAGTGGCGGGTCATCATATGACTAAGACCCGCGTCAGGAAACACCTCTCTTGTTGTTAGGTAAGACACATGTGCAACAGTTAGGTATCTTTATTTCTTCAGTCGAGTATACTGAAAAGTTGGGAAAGCAAAAGAGATGTGAAGACGATGTAATCAGTCCATCACCCTTGAGGATCTAGTTTTGAGGTGTTCAGTCCCTCAGCCTGGAGAAGACTGGGGAACTAGATCTTCAAGGGTGATAGACTGATTACATCGTCTTCACACCTCTTCTGCTTCTACCAACTTTTCTGTACTTGGCTGAAGAAGCCTACTGTGTAGGCGAAACGTTATGAAATAAAGATACCTAACTGTTGCATTTGTCTTGCCTAACAACTTGTCGGTATTTTATACCATTCAAATATTCACCTCTCTTGTTTCCTGGCCAATCTAACTTAATCTGACCTTATTATGAGTATTTGTCTTGTGACCCGATCAGTCATTAGGCAGGATTAACAGAAAAATAAACAATTACCACGAAGTAGATTCTTTGATAAAATATATATTTAAATTGAAAATTATGTGTTCGGGAGAAATTACTTAAAATAACTTAAAACTACATCCGAGGCAAATCAATTATAAAACGCTTTAAAAAAAAAGTTTATATGAAATATGAAAATGAAGAACACAGAAAAAATCGTTAATTAGAAGAAAATGTGTAAGATATTAAATTTAATTTAGAGTCCCTGACTGTGTTTATAAAAGAAAGCCTCATGATTATCGAGAACTTCAAGAAATACTGAGACTGTACGTCTTTCATTGCTAGGAAAGGTGGGAGCTGGATTCAGCATCTGGTAAGCACGACTCATATTCTGAAAAAAATGTAATTGGGTAATAAGTTAAATATCAAGAACTAAAACCAGACGAGATACCACATTGCGGTTTGAACGTATTTTGTCAAGAACTGACTAGTACAATCTTGAAAAATGTTATAGGCGTTTATATAAGAAAGTAAACTGCCGAACAAATGAAAAACATCCGATCATTGAATGCTGTGGTTAGTTTATACGAAAGTTAAACATTGATATGAGTCGCAAGATAATACTTTAAGAGTGCGATCGACACCATGCCGAGCTTGTAGCTCACAAGCCTGTCATTCCCATTAGCCCCCTTGGGGCGGGGATGGCAGACCAGAGAGGCCTAGCTTGTGGTTAGGCCTGGTGACAGTTGGTCCCAAAGATGAGGAGGTACTTGTGCCTCCTCCCATGGGAGACTTAGGGAGCCAAGGCCGGGCCACCACTTGGAAAAGACCCGGGCCGGGAGAATACCTGCGAATCTTTAATAATAATAAATAATTTCAGAGTGCTGACACTCTACTTACTGTGCAGGAAACAATGCAGTATCTCCTGGTAAGTGTCTAAAGGAATGTGGAAGATGGAGTCACCGATGACACTACTGCGGATCAAGGCAGCGGCGACACCTGTTTTACAGGTGTTGGACTGAGTGGAAACAGGGATACAGGTGTACAATATTGCAAAGGCGGAAAAGGTACACGAGGGCACAGTTAGAGATCAAACATACTGATAAGGATGCCGGAAAACTTTTCTTCATCCTCTGGGTGTTCAGGAAATAGATTGACCTGGACGAGCAATAGTGGAGGTAGGCTCCATATATACTTTTCAGAATAGTTATGAGAGGGCTCACAGTTGTAAGAGGGAGCGTACCCAGCAAGTTACGAAGTAGGGACACGCAACGAGATACGACCCCTTTAACAACAAATAGGTGAATGAACACGCACACACACACACACACACACATACACTACACAACACGTACACACACACACACACACACACACACACACACACACACACACACACACACACACACACACACACACACACACACGTATTATTTCGGTAAACACTGGTCAAGAAAATTTGAATTTGCAAAATCGCTTAACGAATTCCTGTGTTTTATGTCTTGTAAAATATTATCTTTATGTAAAAAAGCTTCATAAGTAAATGGGCAGAAACTCATCTATCGCATAAAGAAATGAAGACCTAAGTCTTAGGGTACATATGCTGAGACATAATTTTAATCTCTCTTTTAGGCTTCTGACTCAGTTCACCAACCAACCAGACTGTGTGTAACTGGTTGCAGTCACTGGAGGGAATTTCACATACAAAATCACTCAATAGCTAATGAATTATCTGTTTTATTATGTTTTTAGGGAAACAGTTTGGATATTCGAACTGGTTTCACTGATGTTCTAACACATTTTTGGGGATAATTTAGTGTCAGTTGCTGTTGCGTTGCTTTCTTTTTTTCTTAATTTTGTAGTTACTAAGACCGCTTTCGATTGCCTATTTTGTAATCAAGCCTCATAATTAGTGTTTTGTTTTAGGGGATGTGTGCTGCATAAGCGTGATGCACGTAGGTAAAATTCCTAGATTACATTTGTTTTTAAATTGGTTATCCTAGTGGCTAAAAAAATAAAACGAGTAAGAATGTACCAAAATACGAAGAATTTAAACAAATATGTGTTATTTACGTATTCCAAAGCAATATCAAACTGTGCCATCACCTTTCATTTCATTAAAACACGTCATTAACATATCTGTAACATGCCATATATTATTTTTGAAAAGTTTCTTGCAAAGGTTGGAAAGACCAGGTACGAGTGGACTGCCCATAAAAAATAATGCTAATGCCGCTTTGGGAAATATTGCCTATTGGATATATCTGGAATTCTTTTTGTAGTATGTGATACTAAAGTCATAGGTAGAGATTTTTTTTCTTACCTCTGTAGCAGACAATGCAGTTTTTGTTTTATTTTTCATCTCGTACACGTCATTCAAAGGCGTGGAGTAAATTAGATCTTTTGTTGGGTCTCTCTCTCTCTCTCTCTCTCTCTCTCTCTGTCTCTGTCTCTCTCTCTCTCTCTCTCTCTCTCTCTCTCTCTCTCTCTCTCTCTCTCTCTCTCTCTCACTCACTCACTCACTCACTCACTCACACACACACACACACACACACACACACACACACACACACACACACACACACACACACACACACTTGGGGCCCAGAAACGTGGAGGGCTAAGATGACGGAGGTGGTACTGGAAAACTTCATGTACCAACACGTAAGGGACAGAGAGAGAAGGGAAAGGATGAACCAGCAAGACTGGACTTAGTATTCACCTTCAGTAGTGCAGATACTGAGGACATCATATATGATGTACCCCCCGGGGCCAGTGACCACGTGGCTCTGAGCTTCGAATACATAGAAGAGTGGAGTGGAGTGGAGAGGGAAGCAGGAAGGGCAGGGCGAACTAAGGCAAATTACAAAGGAGTGGACTACAGAGGCATGATGAATTTCCTGCACTAGGTTCAGTCCGACAGAGCACTGGAAGGGACGTCTGTAAATGAAATGATGGAATATGTGACAAAAATACGCAAGAAAGCTGAGGAGAGGTATGTACCCAAGGGTAATAAAAATAACGAGAAGGCCAGGATGAGCTCTTGGTTCACTCAAAGGTTTAGAGAGGCCAAAACCAAGTGTGCTGGAGAGTGTAAGAAGTATAGAAGGCAAAGGATCCAGGAAAATAAGGAGAGCAGTCGTAGAGCCAGAAATGAGTACGAGCAGGTAAGAAAGGAGGCCCAACGATAATACGAAAATGACATAGCAGCGAAAGCCAAATCTGATCCGAACCTGTTGTACAGCCACATCAGGAGGAAAACAGTCAAGGAGCAGGTAATCAGGCTGAGGAAGGGAGGAGGGGAGATAACAAGAAACGATAGAGAAGTATGTGAAGAGCTCAACACGAGATTCAAACAAGTGTTCAGAGAGGAGATAGAAGGGATTTCGGAAAGACGGAGAGATGGGGTACACCATCAAGTGTTGGACACAATACATACAGACCGAGGAAGAAGTGAAGAGGTTGCTAAGCGAGCTAGATACCTCAAAGGCAACGGGGCCGGATGACATATCTCCATGGGTCCTGAGAGAGGGAGCAGAGGCGCTGTGTGTGCCACTAACAACAATCTTCAACACATCTATGGAAAAAGGGCTACTACCTGAGGTATGGAAGACACCAAATGTAGTCCCAATTTTCAAAAAAAGAAGACAGACACGAAGCACTAAACTACAGACCAATGTCACTGACATGTATAGTATGCAATGTCACAGAGATTATCAGAAGAGTGGTGGAGCACTTAAAAAGGAATGAGCTTATCAACGACAACCAGCACTGTTTCAGAGATGGAAAATCCTGTGTCACAAACCTACTGGAATTCTATGACAGGATGACAGCAGTAAGGCAAGAGAGAGATGGGTGGGTAGATTGCATTTTCTTGGACTGTATGAAGGCTTTTGACACAGTTCCACACAAGAGATTAGTGCATAAGCTGGAGGACCAGGCAGGTATAACAGGAAGGCACTGCAATGGATCAGGGAATACCTGTCGGGAAGACATCAGCGAGTCATGGTACGTGACGAGGTGTCAGAGTGGGAGCCTGAAACGAGCGGGGCTCCACAGGGTTCAGTCCTAGGACCGGTGCTGTTTCTAGTATATGTGAAGGACATGACGGGAGGAATAGACTCAGAAGAGTCCCTGTTTGCAGATGATGTGAAATTGATAAGAATTCAATCGGGGGAGGACAAGGAGGAACTACAAAGGGATCTGGATAGGCTGCAGGCCTGGTCCAGAAACTGGCTCCTGGAGTTCCACCCCACCAAGTGCAAAGTCATAAAGATTGGGGAAGGGCAAAGAACACCGCAGACGGAGTACAGTCTAGGGGGCCAGAGACTACAAACCTCACTCAAGGAAAAGGATTTTGGGGTGAGTATAACACCGGACACATCTCCTGAGGCGCAAATCAGCCAAATAACTGATGTAGCATATGGACGATTAGCAAACCCAAGACTAGCATTCCGACATCTCAATAAGGAATCGTTCAGGACCCTGTACATCGTGTATGTCAGGCCTATATTGGAGTATGCAGCACCAGTTTGAAACCCACACCTAGCCAAGCATATAAGGAAATTAGAGAAAGTGTAAAGATTTGCAACAAGACTAGTCCCGGAGCTAAGGGGCATGCCCTCCAGTGTCCTCACGACACTGGAGGACAGAAAAGATAGGGGGATATGATAACGACATATAAAATACTGAGAGAAATCGACAAGGTGGACAGAAACAGGATGTTCCAGGGATGGGACACTGCAACAATGAGTCACAGTTAGAAGCTGAAGACTCAGATGATTCACAGGGATGTTTGGAAGTATTTCTTCAGTCACAGAGTTGTCAGGAAATGGAACAGTCTGGGATGTGATGTAGTGGAGACAGGATCCAAATATAGTTTTAAGAAGAGAAATGATAAAGCTCATGGAGCACTAAGAGTGACCTAGTAGCGACCAGTGAAGAGGCGGGGTCAGGAGCTGTGACTCGACCCCTGCAACCACAACTAGGTGAGTACACACACATATATACCTACTGAGATATACATCCCTTGAAGTTAAAAATACGTGATATATTCATCAGCTTAGAAAACAATAATGAAGTAATATTATGAAGGAATGAGTTTCAAAAACTTCTTTATAAGTGATACTTTTTATTTAATATAAATATATTTTGATTTAAATAACAACGCTCTTCTTATGGAATAAGGAAAGCAAAAATTTGTGTATGCAATAATTTTGCAAAAAAAAAAAAAAAAAAAAAAAAAACACTTTCTAAACATAACGAAAAAATATATTTCATTGTGTTTGTTTATTATTAATTTATTTTAAACTTATCTAAAATATATTTAGTTGGATTAGTCTAAATTAAATTGTTATAAGGTTAGGTAAGTGTTCTAAGCTTCTTTTGGTTTGGTACAAAATTATTAATTTTTGCTTTAACATAAATGAAAAAAATATATCTCTAAACGTATAAGAGAAATTTGAGAATGGACTTAATTTTAAATGAGTTATATATATATATATATATATACTGTGATAGTATTAAGGATTATTTTCCGTAGCTACCATAGCCGCCATAGCCGCCATAGCCACCATAGCCGCCATAGCCACCATAGCCGCCATAGCCGCCTCCGATTCCACTATGTCCAAAGCCAAATCCTAATCCACGTCCACCGTAGCCACCATGACCTAGGTTGAAGTTGATGAGAGCTCTTCCACCACCGTAACCACTGCCATATCCTCCATAACCGCCATATCCAGCACCGTAGCTGCCATACCCGCCTATGAGGCCACCATAGCCGCCATATCCGCTACCGTAGTCGCCATATCCACCACTGTAGCTTATTACACCAGGAGCTGCCACGGCAGAGGCAACCAGGACTGCCAACAACACGAGAAACAGCGAGTATTTCTGCGTAAACAAGAACAATAGGTTTTATTAATACTTATATTGCTAGTGAACATCAGTGGTGATGCACAACATACTAATAAATGTTACTAAAACTAATGAAAGTTATAATTACAGTAATAAAGTACTACTAATACTTAAGTTACTATTACTAAAATAATAACAGTAATATTTAAAAATTCGTGTCTATCTGCAGAAAGTATTTACGGGTCTTCGTAGTAATCTGTCCTGATTAGTAAGTCTATGAGACCACATGTGCAACTAATGTGACATTTTATTGTGGCAACGTTTCGCTCTCTAGCAGCTTTGTCAAGCCATTAGCGTGACAAAGCTCCTGGAGAGCGAAACGTTGCCGCAGTAAAATGTCGCATTTGTTGCACATGTCTTTATAAATAACATTTTTTTCTATAATTCTATGAACATTATTACAACAAGAAAGTAATTTTCCTTTAGTATGTGCTAAGTTATTGTGATTGGCCAGATTTTTAGTGACACTTTCATTATATCTGCCCAGTTTATGTGAGCGACATTATACCAATAAGTGACCAGTTCTCGTTTAAGAAACAGGTTCTAAAATACATAAGCTATACGTATATGAACCTCTGTTACGAGGGTAACAAGTTGTAAGTAACCAACCATTGCGGAGCAAGTGAGTGTACAACCAAACTGGTGTCTGGGAGGTATCTGCTCTACACCATCAACATTCATGACTTATATACCTGGTGGGTCGTTGGATAACCTTGGGTACTTTGTCGTCACCTGCTGATTATTGCAGAAAAACATTTGGAGTAACAGTTTTATAACTGAAAAATTCCTGCAATAATAATGACAGGAATAAAATTAATAATGATAATTGGATTATGAAGTATCCATTCAATTTTGAGTTTAGTTTTGGGGTTGACAGAATTATTACACAAGAAAATTAACGAATAAATTTGAAAATAATGAATAGTTAATCTGGTAAACTAGAACACCTAGATAAATATTTCATTAACTAAGCAGGAACATGGACGGGTTACTAAGTATGTAAGTCTACGATTATTAAGGTATGAAATTCATGTGTATCAGACATGTTAAAGAGGTAAGTTATGTATTATTTGAAGCAACACTCAAAACTTGATCTAATTTTTATTTAAAAACTGGAAAGTTCTCAGAATAGATTATTTCAATTCCCTTGATAAAAGTAGTCGTTTTCTGCTGTTGATAATCTGTGATGCGAGGCATAACTTAGATGAAAAATACTACAATAAATGCTACAAGAAAAGAAAGGTACGTTGACCTACGATATTTTAGAAAAATAAGTACTTGTTTTGGTGGAAAGAAAGTGTATCTTAACTTTCGCAAAAAAAAAAAAATTATTAATATAAATTTTAACAGGGATGGACCTGTAATTCAGCTGAAGGTCTCAACCAGATGACCAAAAGCTCCAATGGCGGGTCATCATATGACTAAGACCCGCTACAGGAAACACTTATTTTACCTGACATTAACATGACTATTTTGTCGTGTGACCCGCCCAGTCATTAGGCAGGATCAACAGCAGAATAAACAATTACCACGTAGTAAATTCTTTGATAAAATATAAGATTATTATAATGCAAATTATAAGTCTTCGGGATAGGCAAATTAAACAGAAATTAGTTACAATAATTTAAAAAACATCTGAAGCAAATCAATTAAAAAAGAAGCTTTGAACCAAGACAAAACCAACTATTTTTAGCAATATTCAAACATTTTGGAAAATATTAGACAAAAATAAGACCACATCACAAACAAAGCTTTTAATATCTTTAAAAAAAAAGTGACACGAAAGATAAATTATAAAGAACAGAGAAGAGACAGACAAAATTGTCGATTCAGATAAATAAATGTGTAAGGTAGAAATTTAAATTTCCTGTGTTTACAAAAGAAAGTCTCAAAATTATCGAGGACTTAATGAAACACAGAGCTTCTGTACGTCCTTCATGGTAAGGAAAGGTGGGAGCTGGATCCAACACCTGGAAAGCGCAACTCACACTCTGAAATAATGTGAGAATATATAATTGGGTAATAAACATATATTAATAATTAGGGTCAGACCAGATGCCACTTTGCGGTTTTGAACGAATTTGTGCAAGAACTAACCAGTATATTCTTGAATAATATTGTCAGCATTATTATGAGAAAGTAAACTGCCTAACAAATGGAAATTAAGAGACAGTATGGATATCTATAGACTCGTCACATTAATAAGAGCTTTGAAAACACACACAAAAAAATCACGAGCATTGAATATTGGGGCTAGTTTATCCGAGATTAAAACATTGTTATCAGTCGCAAGATGATACTTTGAGAGTGTTGACACTATTACTGTGGTGCGACAAGACACTGTAGTGATGTTGAGTAGTCAGGATACAATGCGGTGTCTCCGGGTATGTGTCTAAAGGAATGTTAGAGAGTTAAAGGTTGGGTCACCGACGGCTCTACTGTGGGCCAAGGCAGCGGCGACACATGTTGGACCGAGTGAAAATGGATACATTGATACAGGAACACGGGGCACAGTTAGATATCAAACATACAGATAAGCCACGAGAATGCCGGGAAGTATTTGTTTCAGTCTCTGGGTGGTCAGGAAATGGAATGACCTGGACGAAGATTTGTGGAAGCAGGCTCCATAGGTATAAGAGCACCCACAAGGTTAAGAGGAAGTGTACCCGGCAAGTTTCGGGGAAGGAGCAGGAGACGAAATTTGATCACTGAAACCACAAATATCTGAAACACACACACACACACACACACACACACACACACACACACACACGCACACACACACGCACACGCACACGCACACGCACACACACGCACACGCACACACACACGCACCTCTTACCTTTTCCCTCCCTCGCGTTTCTCTCTCTCATAGCCTTCTTCCCTCCTTTCTCCCTCTCTCTCTCTTTCTCTCCCCTCCCTCTCCCTCTCTTTCTCCTCTCTCTACCCTTTCTCTCCCCCTCACATTTCTCTCCCTCCCCCTTGGTCTTATCCTCACCCCATACTCTCTTCCTCTCTCTCCCTCTTTCTACCCTTTCTCTCTCCTCTCTCTCCCTCTTTCTACCCTCTCTCTCTCTCCCCCACACCCTCTCCCTCCTCTAGCCTTCTGTCTGTGGTAATAAAAAGTAAAAAAAAAAAAAAAAAAAAAAAAAAATGGTGGCCTTAGAGGACGGAAACCCAGAGATCTGGTGGACGAACCAGGGAGGAAAGACTGGGAGCTAGAGCTCCAAAAAGGGAGGAAGAGTGGGGAAGGAAGATAGTAGAGCTTGGTAAGAAAATGGAGGAGCGGATAGCTGAAGAGTGCAGGAAGTGGGAATTACAGGTCTTAGCAGCAGAAGCTAGGATACAGTGCTTAGAAGAGAAACTGCAAAGCCTGAAACAGATTAGAGAGACAAATGACAATTCAGGTGTGACATCAGGAAATTCAAAGTCAGGCGCAGACAAGGGGATGGTAAGCAACAACGGAGACATGCCGAACATGAAGGCCCTATCAGACCCACGTGGGCCAGGGAAAAGACGACGAGCACACTAAGATCAAACGACAGGTCCGAAGACAATGAAGGTATGCTATATGCAGAGATTCTAACAGCCAACTGCAGTAGCAAGGGACAGCTGGTCAGGAAAGACAGTCCACTGAGAATAGAAGTTTCAGATATGACAGGGACTGAAGGCAAGAACATGTCAATGGAAGGAAATAAAATGCCTCAGAGGACGCAGATGGAGACTCAGTGGAGGAGGAAAGGGCGAGGTCAGTTTTTGTGTACGGGCTCCAAGAAGCCAAGGGGGCCAACTTTGAAGAAATAAAACAGGAGGAGAAAAAATGATTGAAGGCATCATGATAAACAATAGGGGAGGGCAATATGACCCAGGTGACAAATTTCAGAGAATTGGGTGATTTGCGAGTGGAAGGATTATGGCCTGTCAGAGTAACTTTCAAGGAAGAATCAGTTCGAACCAGGATTCTGCAAGAAGAAAGCAAGACTGAGGGACAAAGAGGGGTACCAGAGAGTATACCTCGACCGCGACAAGAACACAAGAAGAAAGGACTACACTGAAAGAGAGGGTACAGAGACGCAAGGAGGAACGAGAAGCATGAAAATGAGCAGGACCCAGACACAGGAGAAAGGGCAAACACACCCCACAGAATCTCCCACCAAAAGACTCACCCGCGACATTCCCAACGCAACTGAGCAACCTATACACAACCCACTCACTGTTCCCTCTGCCACCAATCCCCATATCACAAACCTCACCCCAACAGCTGTCCCTTATGGCATTCTGACCCCACCCCCATCAACACAAACCCCACCTACACCACAGCCCCATATAGGCCCCACCAAGGCTCTCGCTCCCCCCAACCCCAATATTCTTGCATGACCACAATGATAGAAAAGAAACTAAAGGTTTGGTACACAAACGCGGATGGAATAATGAATAAACATGAGGAGTGGAATGAAAAGAATCAGTGAAAAATCCCCAGACATCATAGCAGTCACAGAAACAAAACTCGCTGAGACATAACAGACACAATCTTCCAACAGGATATCAGATCCTGAGGAAAGATAGAAGGAGTAGAGGGGGAGGAGGGGTTGCACTGCTCATAAAACACCGATGGGGATTGAGGAAATGGAAGGCATGGACATGATTGGAGAAAGAGACTACATTGTAGGTACAATTCAGTCCGGAGAACATAAAGTAGTCATGTGAGTGATGTATAACCCACCACAGAACTGCAGGAGGCCAAGAGAGGAGTACGAAGAAAACAACAGGGTGATGGTGGACACACTGGCTGAGGTGGCAAGAAGAGCTCACTCGAGCAGAGCAAAGTTACTGGTAATGGGCGATTTCAACCACAGGGAGATCGACTGGGAAAACCTGGAGCCACATGGGGGTCCCGAAACATGGAGAGCCAAGATGATGGATGTGGTACTTGAAAACCTCATGCATCAACATGTCAGGGACACAACCAGAGAGAGAGGGGAGGATGAGCCAGCAAGACTGGATCTTGTGTTCACCCTGAGCAGTTCAGACATTGAGGACATCACTTATGAGAGGCCCCTTGGAGCTAGCGATCATGTGGTTCTGAGTTTTGACTATATAGTAGAGTTACAAGTGGAGAAGGTAACAGGAACTGAAGGGGACAGGCCAAACTATAAAAGGGTGGGACTACACAGGTATGAGAAACTTCCTGCAGGAGGTTCAGTGGGACAGAGAAATGGTAGGAAAATCAGTAAACGAGATGATGGAATATGTGGCAACAAAGTGCAAGGAGGCAGAGGAAAGTTTTGTTCCCAAGGGAAACGGAAATAATAGGAAGACCAAAACGAGTCCTTGGTTTACCCGAAGGTGTAGGGAGGCAAAAACTAAGTGCAACAGAGAATGGAAAAGGTACAGGAGGCATAGGACCCAGGAAAACAAGGAGATTAGTAGAAGAGCCAGAAACGAGTATGCACAGATAAGGAGGGAGGCCCAGCGACAGTATGAAAACGACATAGCATCGAAAGTCAAATCTGACCCGAAACTGCTGTATAGCCACATTAGGAGGAAGACAACAGTCAAGGACCAGGTGATAAGGCTGAGGAAAGAAGGTGGAGAAACTCACAAGAAACGATCAAGAGGTATGTGAGGAGCTCAACACGAGATTTAAGGAAGTA